GGGGCAGGGGGGGGCCCAGGGCACAGGGGGTCAGGGACCTGCCAGGGCTGCTGCCAGTCCCGGGCACCAGCTTGCACATCGCACCGGGATGCAGAGCCAGGGGATGATGGCAGGGCTGGATTCAGCTGTGGCCATCGGCAACCTAGCCCCAAAACACCCGCAACGCCAGGCGAAGACCCCGAATCTTTAAAAAAAATAAAAATCATCCCAACCCAAAAACAAACACGCGGCTTCTCTTTATTTGCTCTCTGGTTTTGAAGCCTCCCGGGGCCGAGGTTTCAAGCAATTATCTGCAGCCGCAGGAGCGAGCGGCTTCGTGTGTTGATGCAAGGCAACCTGTGACGTGCCCACCGTCGCTGCGGTCCCTGGGGATGCTCTGGCAAGGAACCGCCGCTGGGACAGCACCATGGGTGACCCAGCTGTTTGGGGACATCGCGGGGGTCCGGGCACCCCGGGAGAGAGGAATCTCTTTTGAGCCATTTCCCCCTCTCCCTGTGCGATACTTCACCACGTAGGGCTGCGTTTGTGCTTTTATCTGTGGGATAATTACACGCAGCCCCCGGGCTCTCCAAGCCAGATGTGCTGGGCTGGGATTGAGCTGGCAGAGCTGCAAGGGGAGGCTTCCGGAAAATTCCCCTGCAGCCGCCGGCGGCACAAGGGGAGGCTTTCTCCGCAGCCGGAGGAGCTCCCATAGCCCGCTCATCCCTTGCCGAGCAGCACAAGCCTTCGCCCCTGCTATGAGGCTGTCCCCATCCCCGTGGCGGGATGTCACCTGGTACTGCCGAAATGCTGCCGGCATCCCGACCTTGCTGCAGGAACTCACCCTGCCTGCCCCGAACATCCCCGTCCCGGACAGCTGGCAGTGCCGCAGCCCGTCACCCCACCAGGTCTCACCCCACGGCCCAGGGATTTGTTCTGGAGGTCTCGGTCACGTCTCGATGCCCTCGCTGTATTTTAGGGTTCCCTTTGCAGATCAGCTCCAGGTACCAGGTACCTGCCCTCACAAAGCAAAACGATGCGCTTTGAGATCCAGAAGCTGCAGACTGAGAAAGGGCTGAGCTCCTGTGAGCCAGGCAGCTCACACCAAGCGTTACGACAGTCCCGGGGACCCACGTGTCCCCATCTCCACTCTGCCGTGCTCACCGCCCTGGGTTTGGGGCTAGAAAGGACGCTGTGAGTCACGTGCACTGCCCCGCTAGGACTAAAGCCCCCAGGGTTTGGCTCTCTGTCCCCTCCACAAACCCCAGCACCTTACCCACGACCTTGGGTAACTTCTGGCGGCGCAGGGGGATGCGAGGGAGCTTCATGCTAATCCGACTGAAACGCCCACACAAGCGTCTCGGCGGCTTCTTGGCTGCTGCCGGGTCCTGGCTGGAGCTACAAGAGAAGGCGACGGCCCCATCAGAGAGGCAGGGGCACGCGCCCCGCGGTTGGG